AGTGAAATCTTTGAAGTTACTATATAAATCTCAGTTGGATTTTATTTTTATAAAAAATTATAGAAAACTTATTAGCATTTCCACAGTCATAACAATTGAGTAAGATATATTCACTGTATAGACTTTTAAATGATAGAATACTGGAACCATGACATTTTTGTCCAGCCCAATCACATGTAGTCCATTTTGTAATTTCACTACTACAATAAAGCAAAAATTATTTGCTTAAAGTTTCAGAGGCATCAGTGCAAATATAAAACTTCACTTCCTTCGAGGTATTTGGATACTAGACAAAGTGAGGTACAATTGGTAAGTCTTACCTATAACGTTGCATTTGCTTTCCAACAATAAATGATGTATGTGACTTGGAAGGGGAATGAATAGGACAGTTTTTCAATACTCCATAACTCAACCAAGTATTTACTTAGGTCTCAGTCCCAGAGGTTGTTCAACAGGGGTGGAACAAGCAGTGGATTTGAATTTAGCTATACTCTAGAGGGGTCAACTGTATGTAATAACTGAAAGAGTAACTTAGCATCCGGTAACCTTGATTACGTTAATTGATCATTATCACTTCTTATTTTTGCAAGGAAAGAGTATTTCAAAGGATTTGGTACAGCAGTCTGGAATTTTTAGGCAAACATAACAGAAGTCTACCACCATCCCAGGTAACTGGGCCATAATCCCTATTATAAGATACATTACACAATTTCCTTATGGAAGTCTCTCCCCTGCCCCAGTGATTAGTTTATCTAAATTCCTTCATAAGTCTATCATCTGCCCATACTTATTTTATGTAACAAACCTTTTAGCATAAATGCTACTTTCCCCTTCTCTAGGTATACTTACACTGTCGTTGGCATCTTTCCATTCCTGAACTAAACTAGAGTTTATCTGGTAAAGATGATTCACCTGTTTATTGTCCATTCACTCAACAGGACTCTATAGTTGTTATTTTGTTTGCTTTGTTTTATTGTTTTTTAACAGTACTGATCCCTGAGCAATGTGGTTCATAGTTCTTTTTATGAGGTATCCCTCTGGTGACACATCACAGAACTGCATTTACAGTGTCGTAGTTTAATACCATCACCAGACATCGATTACAGTTCTTTCACACTACTTAAATGCTCACTTTTAATTCTTAAAAATCACATTTTTGCAATTCCCTAATAAAACTTCCTACACTTACTAATGCAATCTTGAAGTCATCCACTAGCTGCAGAACAGGGCTAGAACCTTTGGTCAGAGATCATGAATGTTACTTTTGCCCTTCCCAAGTAACAAAAAATGATTCAAGCTCAGCCATATGACCAAATCTCAGGACTTCAGCATTCTGCATTCCTTCCAAATGTCATTTTCTTCTATGCAGCACTCCCTCAGCCTGTACTCTGGTACCAATTCATAACCTTTCTAGATTAATTTTTTGATGGGGCCTCTGTATCAAAGGCTTTAAGGCAGTCCAGAAATACAGGAATGAGGTATTTATTTATTAAAAAAAAAAAAGTCTATTTATCAGAGTAACACGATCTTGTATCCCTTTGTAAACTTGCTTCCATACCTCTTCCTTCATGTTCAGAGACTGTTAAAGCTCTTACAGTCTCATGCCACTCTCTATTTTTGCCCTGAAGACCTAGCATTCTTAACATGGTTTATTGAAAAAGATACAAGCAACAAGATGACAATTTCTTATAAATCAAGTATTGCCAAAAGCAAAATAAGTAGAATACAGGTAAGTGTCTACAAAAGCGGATAGGAATGAAAACAGACCTGGGGAGAATATAAACATGTTCTCTTTATGACACTCAGCCATTCAGAGCAAACCAGCAAACCCTGACGTGCGTGACAGAGATGGCAGTCTTAAAGACAGGAAACTTAAATGAATTTAGGTCTGCATTTGACTGTTCTCACAGAGTACATAGCAAATTCCTTGTGGTGACCCTACAAGTGTCTAAGCGTGGGCCTGAATTAGAATTTAGTGTTTGTGTCACTGTAAGGCATTTTGAACAAAGATGAGCCTTATCCTTCAGTGCCAGATCATCACTATACCTCAAAATGTCAAATCCAGTAACTCCAAAAATCAAAGGAATAAAAGGGACTAAGTTCAGGAAGTTCTTAAGCATCTGTTTAGAAGACCAGTGGGGAATATAATCTCACTCTGATACTTAAAGAATTTGTCTATTATTTGCTCTGACCTTACATCCATGGAAAGTTTCAAGCAGCTTGGAAACCATGGTGTTGCACCTGGCCAGCAATCAGTTGAAGGGTACTTCTGAAGTTTTAGAAGAAAAACTGAGGAAGATGGGGTTCATAAAAATAGAAAACCAGCAAGTGTCTGTACTAAGGGGGTACTTTCTTACTACTATTGTTGCATACTTGACAATCTTTGCTAAAGGCTTGATTTTTCACTGACAATTGAAGCTATTGTCCACTGGCCAAATCACAATCCTAACTAATGCTGTATTCTCCATAAGTATCCAGTATTTCTCATTTCTCTTTCTGTGGAAAGAGTAAAGCATTGGTTAAGTCAAACTACACAGACCTGAAAGGAAGAGATCTTTGTTCTGACGAGGTCCATACACTACGCGAAAGTACACAAGCACAGAAAGCTTTGGCAAGTTCTAGGATACTAGGACCACATGCTGTCTTCAGCTTGAAGAGAGCTCTGCTTCCTAGTCAATGCTCACCACCAGCTCAAGCCACGTGGTGGACATGGAGGACTGACATCTGGCAGCACGAGCCATGGGACCAGCAGCTGGGAGCCAGGTGGGTGGAAGGACTGCTGCCTCCTGGAAGACTCCTGTGACCTGCTGGTTACCGAACATTTACTGTATCAGCACTGCCAATAGACACAGCTCTTGAGCTTTCCCAGTGAAAGCTTTGGAATATGCTTTCAAAGAAGGAGCTGGTCACAGGAAGAAGTGTGAGCATGGTCAGCTAGTCCACAATCAGTTAGTTACTAGTGTAACTGCTCGAATGTAGAGCATTACCCATCAGGGCAACCGCAACCATCACAGTGGGGAGTAATGGAAAGCTGCAACCTACATTAGCCTCCCTGCCAAAACTAGGTCAACAGATTTTACCCAGCAGTTTCTAGGTCAAGTTCTTCCACTTCTCAGAAAGCAGTTGAGATGCCTGGTGGAGGAGGAAACCCCACAGCCTCTGGGCAACCTGTGCCAGGGCTCCATCACTCACACAGCACAGAAGTGCTGCCTGGTGCTCAGAGGGAGCCCCCTGTGTGCCAGTTTGTGCCCATTGCCTCCTGTCCTTGCACCAAGCATCACGTTTTAATCTTCTGCAGCTCCCTGTTCAAGCACAGGGCTTACATGGTAACACTTCGTGTGAGCATGACCCCTCCAGTTCTGCCAGCTCTCATCTTAATTGGTAGAAAGTACACATGGTTCTACTATTATTACTTTCTGAGTTTGAGCATCAAATTTCAAATCACGCACATTACACCTTATCAACCTTATTCTAATCCTTGCTGCATAACACAAAAGCACCTCTAGAAACTTCAAAAGCAGAAAAGCAAAAAGATGTTAATCAAAGCAGCTTAAAACTGAATGCAATGCTTGAAATATTTACACTTTTAAAATGCAAAATTAAAAGAAGGATACGTATATGTAATACAGCTGGATAAAAGCACAGTTAACGAATCCTATGTACTGCAAGGTATGTACATCAAAGCATTACAGTAGGTAGGGTGCCAGCTACTGTGCAGCATTAAACACAGCACTGCAGAAATTATGGAAGAATGGATGAGGCTGCAAGTCAGTGTCACTAATTTCACAGTAAAAATAGGTAGAGAGACAATTGACTCTTCCCCTCCCTCCTCAACTCCCCGAGACAGCAAAGCAAGGGTACTTCAAAAATCGTTTCCCCAGAAGCCTAAATTCCAAACTCCGCGGGCAGATTTCCCAGGATGGCAGCTGGTTAAGCCAGGAGACCCAGAGGTTTCTTTTAGAGACTTAGATGGGACACTTGATGCTTTCATTAAATTACAGTGCAGATGTACAACAGCAAAGATGTGTACAAATGCCAACCATGTGACATCTCTAACTATGAATGGAAATGTGTCTGCTAGTGACAAGCACCTCCCTGTTTAATGCAGGTCTTGCTCTAAACACCAAGCAACAGTTTCACAGGGTAAGGCACTACAGCCAGCACAACGTGTGTCTCTTGCACAAGTTCTTTCTTAGGTATAGACTTCACTACCTTCATACATAAGGTGCCCCTTTTACAAAAGATAACAGGTACAGATAACAGCCACATATGAAGTGATGAGAACCAGTCACATACACACACTCATCCTAGAACCTGAGGTTCAGCATTTTCATGTCACACTAGAGTGTAAGACACTGAAAAAAAACAATAAACACTCCTTACTGCTGGCAGGTCTGAAGATGGAAAAGCCTGTACTTGGGCACTAACATGACTTAGAGAGACTGGTTTCACGAAGTCTGACAAACTGACAACGCTGCATGCCTTGATGGAGTTATCCCAGCAGTATTCTTCTCCCACTGTTTGATGCTATGTCCTTGAAAAATACCGATGAACTTTCCCCCTGGAGGTATCTACTATGCAAGTCCACGTATCCAGAGCAGAAAAGGGTGAAGAACCAATCATTAAGGAAACCAGAGTCATTGGATTACCAGTTTATAATGCAAGCCCCAAGACTTCAAAGGAGGTTGGAAGATCCTACTGTTTAACTGTGCAAGCAATGTAAACTTTCAAATACAGAAAAGTAGCTTTCACATTTTAATCCTCAGCATAAAAGGTTACACAGCTGCATAGCTACCCATCATTTCATCTCCAAGATCCTGAGATCTGGCCAGGATTTCTACTCTTTGAAAAATCAAGACAGAAGGAAGTACCAGATGCTGTTTCTGTTTCCAAAGAGCACAGAAAAAAAGAAATACCACCACTTCCAACAGGAAAAGAGTTTAGTCACTGCAGCCTGCAGAGAAAAATCCAACGATGGGAACAGAATGAACAAGCACTCATTTACTAAGTAGAAATATTTTAATTCAGCCTTCATATAAACTATTATCAATACACGTTACACAAATATCTCAACACAAAGTTTTAAAAAGTCTCACTGTTCCTGCAACAGTTAGCCTCTTTTCTCCGCCCTGTCCACAAGAAAGCCAAAGCAGAACTGTAATGATTGCTGTTTATTAACAGTAAACTTCAGCTATCTTAACTATTTATTCACATCCCATACTGAGTTCACAAGGCAAGGATGTTGGTGGCCTCTGTGAGATCAGGGACAGTTCTAGCCAGTTCCAGAATGGACTCACTGCTGGCCAAAACTGAGCCAATGAACAACCCTGGTTGCAGCTCTGATGGCATATTAAAGAAGTGGAAAAAAAATGCACGTCAGCAGCTGAGAGACATGCGAGAAAATGAAATGAACAGCCCCACAGACACCAAGGTCAGTGAGGGAGAGGAAGGAGCAACTCTAGGTACCAGAGCAGAGACTGCCCTGCAGCCTGAGCAAAAGGCCATGGCAGAGCAGGCTGTCCTGCAGCCCATGGAAGACCACATCAGAGCTGCCATCCTTCCTACAGCTCTGGGTGGACACTGTGCCACAGCAGGTGGATGCACCACCCTTAAGGAGGCTGCAGCCCATGAAACACCCGCTGAGGAAGGCTCTCACCAGGAACTGTCACCCTAGGGAAGAACATGCACTGGAGCAAGTCTTCCTCCAGGAAATGCAGTACAGACCTGTGCTGGAACAGTTCTTGAAGAACTGGAGCCCATGGGAAGGGCCCATGCTGGAGCAGGTGAGAAGCTTAAGTAAGCAGGAGCAGCAGAGACTAGTGTTACAAACCGACTGCAACCCCCAGTCCCACTAAGGACAGGAAAGAGGTAGAAGAGTTAAAAGTAACGCTGAACCTGGGAAGACGAGGCAGGTAGTTTTTTCACTTTTGAGTCCTCACTATCCTACTCTTATTAATCGGCAATAAATTAATTTAGCCTTGCTCCCTGTCAAGTCTGTTTCGCCCATGCTCAAACATCACTGTCAATGTCCCTGGCTTTATCTTGATTTAACAGGCTTTTCCATAGTCCCTTGCCTCACTTTGCTGAGGGTAAGTGAAAGTGCAGCCTGTTGGGCACCTGGCAAGCAGCCAAGGTTAGCTCACCACACATCCAGATGAAAAAAAAACATGACAAGAGCTATGCCAAGCTCCATTTTAGGAACTTGACAAGAAAGGTCTTTTTCTTTTTTTTTTTTTTTATTCAAACAGATAAGGGCATACTAATCAAGTTGCTTTCCCTAGAAAGGAAAGCTACAGAAACATCACCTTAGTACTGAGTTAGTTTTATAAATAGAAATTGTCTTTGGCAAGGAAGACCCAGTATATTCATAATGTTGATATACTTCATTACACAACAGTGTTAGGTAGCTGATTAATCATCTTCTTTAACACAATTTTCCATTCTCAAGACTTTGCTGGCTTAAGCTTCAGTGCCCGGCAGATGACTTTTTGCAAGTTTCCTTCCTTATGAAAGAAATGTACGAACTGTGCCCTTTATCGTTCCCCTGCAAATAGGGCATTTTCGGAGGGATGGAGCACATTCTTTGCATACTACTAGGTGACCACATGGAATAAAGACAATGGAAACTTCTTTGTCCATGCAAACTTTACATGTTCTTTCTTCTTGCAGTCTCCTCAGTTGTTCTTCCATGGGTAAACCTGGAAAAAAAGTTAACCTTTTAAGAAGCCTGAATATACATGCATTCTACTTAGAGAGTAGATTGGAAAATAAAGGGTGAAACTGAATGTGACTACGCTCACTAAACATAGATGGCAGTGAGAAAATAAGCACACTTTCCAGAGTTCAGAAACCAGCATGCAAGGAACCAGTCTGTACTTTCCATTTGTAAGGGACAACAAACAGCTCAGGGACTGGAGACCAGCTATAGTTCTTGAGACTTATGTTTATATTTCAGCATATGCTGTACTTTCTGTGTTTGGATATTAGAAGCACAGAGCACAATGACCGGTAGAAGTGAGCTATATTCAGATTTGTATACTTTTCCGCAAGTCTGTTAACATATTAAGTTTCATATGCATCTGAACTACAAGAGTAAGAATTAGAGCTAACTCAAACTCAAGTCTGACAAGTTTATCCATCCAGCTGTTGGCCAAACAAGATCTTAGGACAGCTATAACCCACTTTGGAAAAGTAAAAATCATGGTACCTCCTATAAAACGTTAGCTTGTTATTCACTGCTTGATCCCTACCAAATGCCTTCATGAGAACTTGTACCAGGACCAAGCCCAGTATGTGCCTGAATGTTTGGAGCTCCAAAAAACCCAACCTCCTAGTGCAAAGGGACCTGTGTAAGGCACAGTGTATGGCTCAAGGCAAACAGACTTACATACAAGCCTGCACATGCACTTAAGATGTGCTTATCTCAAAATTACCAATATAAATCAGGGAGAGGGTGAAGCACAAGAAAATCCATTTCTTAACTAAAGTTAACCTCTTTTTAGGATGTTAGCCAATTGTCCCAAAATACCCTTTAAAGTAAGAAAGTAGAGTTTAAGATACCTGATACATCTTCTGTAGGAACATACTTCATGCTCTTCTCCACTAAAATAAAAGAAAAACAACCAAGTCATTTCACTAATCTACATTCCAACAGCATCTGACTTTTATCTTTAGATTGCAAAGACAGCACAAATTAGTCTTCGATAAACTTATAACCTTAAAGAAAAGTGACATACCAAATAAATCTTTGTAGAGTACAGGGTCACAATCTCGTAGACAGTTTCTGAATATGCTGGCTGCTGCATTTCCTTTCACTAAAACTGTGTCTATCAGTTCCCTTGCTTGCAATGCTGTCTGAGTCTTCTGTTTAATAACGTCATGCTCAAGTTCTGTTATCACTTTAGCTGACAGTAAACTCCCAAGGATTGGAAGTACACATGTTAAACGCTGGAATAAAGCCATTCGGTTCTTCCGGATTAAGGTCAAATCATCTGGAATAGAAAGGGGATTGGGTGTTTGTTAGAAACAGTACTCCAAGCTGCATTTTTGCTTAGTAACTGACACATTCTATAAACTCTACTTGAAATGTTCACTTACTAAAGAGCATTAAAAAGACCTCAAGAAGTTTTAGCAGTACTTACATAAATAACATACTTAAGAAAAATACATACAAGCAGCTCTGGAGCTGAAGCCTTTTCATCAACAAGGCCTCTGGCTCCCATCTCTAGATTAAATAGTTTGAGGGGATATTGTTTAACTTCACACTAGTCATGCTCTGCAGAATTGCAGAGAGAAGAAGTGGAACACCTCTGCATAACACTAATGCTAACCCACTGACAACTGACAGGTTAACTTCAGTCAGTGATGGTCAAAACCATGACCAAGCTGTAGATAGGATCAAGCTTTTCTAAGAGGTGCCCAACAGAATTATGTGCAAGAAAACCAGAAGCACAAAACAACTAGATTCAGGAGGGTTTGTTTTTTTAAATAGTCTATTACAATTTTAAAAATAAAGTCTCTTGAAGCTTTAATGGCTGAATCCATCTCTGTTTTTGTGGCAGAATATATGAGTAGGAAGGAAGCCATTTTAATTCAACTTGTAGTTGAGAAGTTTCATTAGTGCTTCAAAGATTCTAAAAACACGGGGGGGGGAGTGGCGGGATGTCTTCAAAAAAATTTACATAGTCTTGAAACAACAGGGAACATAAAAGGTACATCAAATAAACACCATTCAATATCTGACCTGCATGGTTGTTTCAGACAGAAAAGCTGACCTTTGACAATCTTACAGAACCTATATTTGTAAAAGTTAGCCAGCTCCTAGAGCAGGAAAGTGTTGGCTCACCAGTTCAAGTACCTTAAAAAGCAGGCAAATTTGGAAGGAAAAGGAAAAAAAGTACGTTAAAGTATTTTGTTTCAATTTATTTAATTAATAGGCACACAAAGTTATTAAAAAAGTATGTCTTTGTTCCTGTGGAAAGAATAAGGTGATTCTAAACTCTTGGAACCTATATGAACCATCTTCCTGAAAAGGAAAGAAATAATCACGAGACTGCTAGCAATACAGATTGCCAAATAATGCTCTTAAAGAAGTTGATTGTAAGAGCAAGTAAATTAAATCACTTTGTGAATAAAAATAATTATAAAAATCAGGCCAGAAAGCAGAACAATACAAACCACTTCTGCTTTCATTTTTATTCATTCCTTATGCATACCTGATGCTACTTCTTCAAACTGTCTCTCTTTCTCTTCTTCCCTCTTCTCATCTTCAGCAGTGAGCAAATCAGACACAAGATCATTAACAGTCTTGTAGTTCTCTTCAGTGGCCAAGATTTTACTTTGCACTGTTTGCTTTATTAGCCGTCTGCTGAATCCCATCTCCAAGGCAGCTTTAACTACAGGTGTGTTCATCATGATTGCATCTTCTGAACGATTCTCTCCAGGTTCAAAATGAATGACTAATCAAAGAAGAAAATCACTGCGTATAAGGTAAAGAACAGAATACACACACAACCTACAAGATAACACATCAACATTACCTACACACAATACCTAACATTAGAAAGTTAGTAATTTCAATGACTAAACAGACTTCTTTTTAGTTATTGTTTTCCATTTTTAAAACTATTTACTTGCATTCAGTTGGACTAAATCCACGATAAACTTTCATCCATGTCAGGCTTTCACAAAAAAAATAGAAAAGTCTACGATACTCCAGAGAAATACAGAAGCTCCTATTGTGTCTTCAGGTTGTAGTTCCCCCCTCCCCCCAACACACTATTAGTCATGTCTAACTTTAGCCTTAAAAAGCATCTTGACTTAGGAACTCAAAATTCAGGGCTTCTAGTGCAAGCAATTGCACTAGAATCAATCCATCCATCTTACTCAGCACCAGGCACATGGGACTGACTCATCATCCTCAACCAGCAGGGACTACGATAGTATCTCCTACTCACCCTCTGGGAGGAGTTTATTGCCACCATAACTGGAGCTCCACACACAATGGAACTCAAGGACTTAACTTTAACAGCTTGTCCTAACCTTTCTCCAAACGCTGCCACTCAGCTCACTATTCACTTAGCTCCATGCCTAGAAATTGAGTTGCATTAACTGCATGACGCCTTTAGCAACTACTCCACCAAGGTCAATACCACAGATAAATTTAGCAAACTCCAGCTTGACTTGTTTCTGTTTAACCCAACAACGAAACAAAAAAAATAAAGGAAGTGCCAAGCATTCAAAACTAAAATCTAAGCCGGATATGGCAGTATGTAAATAAGGAAAATGAAAGCTGATATGTCTCAAAGGAGCTTCCTTTGAGACATATCCGTCTCACATTGTCTGTCCTTTAATGTTACATAGACAGTTATAGTATTGCTGTTCCCAAGAAAGCCTAAGATTCACTATAAAAATTAGTTTTGGAGAGCTTATCATTAAGTCTGCAAAGTGCTGAGGGTCTTCAGAAACATGCTTTTCATGTTATATTAATATACATACTTGGGGGATCGATGTTTTCATCTACAGGTGTATCAGAAGTTGACAAGAGCTGTAAAACACAATGGAACTGCATTATCATGTAAGAATTGCTTTTCCTTCTACATACCATTCTAGCAACTTCTTGTCTCAAGAAGTTGGGCTGGGCTTTTTATCTGAAAGATATCAGTTAAGTATTTTTACGTATGGTTACACAAGTCTCAATTTCTTCAACTACATAACCAATATAAAAGTTAGTGCTGACTACTTCTATTAAGAATTTCAGCTTATTCTTGTCATATCTTGTATGGATAGTAACGATTCAGCTATGAGGAGCTGCACAGACAATTAAGAACTCCATGTGACTTGTTTCTGAAATACCAATTGCTGATCTGCACTGTTCACCAAAACTTACCTAACTATAACTTCCTTCTCCTGACACAGAGGCTCAAAGGATCTCATTGCTTCATAATGAGGAGCAAAGGTTTGTCTGTAAATGACCGGGTGTTGTAACCCCTGAATTACTACTATAATATTATACCACCTACTTAATAATTTCTCATGAAACTCCTTCCATGAGTAACCCTGTACAGGGTAAGTTCCAGTATTTCAGTTCCATTAGCCATGGTTCAGCACTGATTTATTTTTTTGTGCCCATGAAGAACATTTACCACATGAGAAACTTAGCAGAAACATATAGAGAAATAAGGCAGAAGGATATATGGAACTCCCAAAAAGAACACAGCATTCTTCAACAAGGAAAAAAACAAAAGTTACAAAACAGTAAGGTGTTTTACCTGTTCAAGCAGATGGGGAAACCTGGCCTGAATCTGACTTACAAACTCTCCTCCTTTTACGCGAAGCAGATACTCACACCTGAAAGATTGGCAAATATGTATTCAATTATACTTTCTATTTCCCAATAAGAATTAAAACAAAGAAGAATGAGACCATCTACAATAGCACAAAATAATTTAAATGCAGGTTTCAAGCTCAGTGAAGGAAGAGAAGAGTTCTCTTAACTGTAAGCTTGATGTAGCCTAGTACCTGGTGACACTTCAATAAAGCTTTTCCATGATGTTGAGCAGTCAGTAATCTTACCTATATAAATGCAACAGCTTTACGTTCCACCACCACTTTTAATCAAAATGACACATCATAAAAAATACCATGTTGGCTTCATTGCAGAGTGCAGTGATAAAGTTTCTAACTCACCTTCTTATTGTTCTCTCTCTTACTCAAATCATTTAAAAAAATATCAAAATTCAACACCACTACCAAAGCCAGATCTGCTTCATGAATGTAGAGTTTTATCTCTTTTTAAGTACATTTATTGACCGGGCATAACAGAGGGAAACAAAGTAGTCATTTAACTGTACAAGCATCTGGTATCCAACAGGATCTGGTAAATTGCCTTTGAAAGTGCAGCTATTTCTGTCATTGATGAACACGGAGATTTCCACAGGCTCAGAGAGCAGTCAGGTATGCAACTGCCATTTATAGGGAATGTATACACAAGTTATTTCTGTCACTTTTCCAATTGAGACACGTTAACAGTCACTGAAACCTTCTTCACAATCCTTCCTACACCTATGAGACTAAACCACACCTGCTGAAAGGCTCAATCAAGAGCATTCAATGTGTGCACAGAACTAGACTGAAGTTCTAAGTTCTTTCTGCCTCAGTTCTCAGAAGCTTTTTTTCTCCTCCACCTGTTTTCTGAGTGCTTCCCTTATCTACTTATGCTCGCTAAGAATGCAGCATCACTTGCTAACAGTGATTTACGGATGCACACAGCTTTTAGTTATGAAGTGGAAAGTCTTAAGTATCATGATTAATGAAGAAGCATTTTAAGACACCTTTAGCACTTCAGAGGTTTTAAAATGAGGAACATGAAATTCATCCAAGTGATAGAATGAATTTGTACACTATATGGTGAAATTAAAAACGTTCAGTGCAGCATATAGCTGCCAAAATTAAAAGTACTTAAGCAGTAAGGATGTGAACAAATTATGATAAAGAGTTTGCAAGTTACCTTGGAAACCATTTTGCATGCTCAATCCACGGATCATCTCCAGATTCCCAGCACCTCAACCCACCATCACAGCAAAAACACTTGACATCATCATTGCGACCTTTAAAAAAAAATAAGGTGCAATATCTAGCAAACATTTACACAGGTTACTTTAAAACAAATGTTGGAACAACAGTATGAATAAAATCAGAGATACTAGGTCTTATTACTTACCTACATAGTAAAAGCCAGCATCTGCAAGCTGCTCAGGTTGAACTGTAATCCTGGTTGGCCAATTTATGAATGTTTTAACGCGTGCTTCATGGGTCTGCATGCTCACATTTGAAACATTGAAACTTGTTTGGTCTCGGGTGAGATTTTCCACAAAAAGGCAGTTAGGAAAGTGTCTCCGATGCTCTGACAAGGCATTATCTTTTGGTTCCCAGTTACTCAACTGACCACCACAGGAGAAACAAGCAACTTTGTCTCCTGTCCCTAGGTAATAAAGGCCAGCCTTCACCAGATCAGTGGGCGAGAGAAACATCAGGGGCCATGCATGAAAAGTGCGCAGTCTGGCTTCTTCAGTACTCATTGAAGGATTGTGAGGCTTAGGTCTTAAGTGTGAGAGGTCTTCAACAGCCCTAGTAGTTACCGGGTCTTGAGGAAAACTGGAAAAAGAGCCACTGAAATAGCCAACTTGTTCGAAGCTTGGAGAAAGCGTCATGGAATGTAGAGATGATGAGAGACCACTTGTGACCAGAGGTGAAAAGGCAGAATGAGAGGACAGCCCGAGGTTGTTCACTGAAATCATGTCCCGAACAAAACTGCAGCTAGGATACAGCCGTTTGTGCTTTTCCATCGCATTATCTCCTGGTTGCCAGTTGTCCAACACCAAGCCACAACTGAAACATTTAACTTTATCTTGCACACCAGTGTAATAAAACCCAGCCCGGGCAAGGCTCCGTTCTGACACTGGCACATTCACAGGGAAAGTAGAAAATGTTGACATTCTGTAGAGTTCACAGGATACATCATATTTCAGTTCACCACACAGAGCACTCTGCTTCATCATGCTAGCCAAGAAAGGGCTATTTTCCATTATGTTCATAATGGAGTATTGTTGGAAAAATGGGACAAGTCTTCCTCTGGGAGGTAGTTGTGTGTATTAAAGGCAATTCTGAATAACCCCTGCCTGTGTAAAAGTAAGAACCTGAAAATGAAATATTTATGTGCAACTTTCAATACAGGTACGAATAGAATTAGCCACATGATTAACATACTTCAAACATTTGAAGAGTTCTTGTACTTGGGTCTATACAACTGCTCTTGCACAAAAGCTGATCCATCCCATCAACAATTTAAAAAAAGCATGCTTAAAAGGACAAGGACTGTCCCTTGAAAACACGCATCACATGCTTTCCTTGTGCTTTGTATCTGGGAGAGCAGCGTCAATTAGTCAGGCTAGTAGAGGCTGAGTCCAGAGGACAAAACCTCAGATGGGTTTTTCAAAATCCTTTGTCAATAAAGAAACTAAAACTAGGGAGGAGGGGGAGGCTTCAAACAAAATTAAATAGCATGTTACAGTTCAAAATGATGTCAAGTGGTTTATGATCTACTGCACCCTAGACAACTACACACATGCAAAATTTTAGTTTTTAACTCTCATTAGGAAACTGAAAGTAACAGCTTCTTAAGCTCAAAAGAGCCTCTGAACTGACATTACTCGACTGATCTGGTATATCTGCTACTACTGAACTGCCAGAAACACCCTCAACATCTGCATATTGTTGTAGCGATTGTTAATACTTAAGAAGTCACTTCACGTGCATCAAATATTCAGCTATGAGATGCATAAATCCTATGCATTGCCTCTGACAAGAACATACTGTCTTAATGAGCCCCAGGCTTTTCTGTCTGTAACACTGTCAGCACAGGCTGAACATTTCAGTTTTAACCTGGTGCCTTAGTTACGAGTATGCACTTATCGCATTTAACATAAATAAATTGCTTTGTGTCAGGACATTCTAATGCTTTATACTGATAAATTAAGTTTTTGCTGTGTGCCATATTTATAAAACAAACAAACCTCAAAAAAGGAGAAAAAAATAAAGCTTTAGTTTCTTTATTGTGCACAGAACTACCTCCCAGAGTTCAGACTGAAGTCCCTTCTAAGGTGCCTACGTCTCCATATTTGATAATGACTGTTCACAAGAAGAAACTGTAGATGTCTGTAGCTTCAATGAACTCCTTTGGGTGAAACAAAACCTGTAAAGAAGGAAGAGCAGTGTTTCAAAAAATGCAAAGCAATGTGTACATAACATCTACATAGACTACACAAACTGAAGCACTAAAATTGCAGATGAAGCTTTTTTGAGATGTCAGCTAGTTAGTTTCAGGAAATCAACTTCATGTACTGTCACATGGAGTGGATTTTACACAACTTCACTGCTACTGACACACATGCAAAGCTGTTTAATCCACAAGCAGAAGTGTTTGGCAGATGGATGAATCAGGTTGCCTGACCACAAGCTGTATCAGCATAGAGGAAAAGTCTTGTACAGAAGATAGTACACCCATTTAAATTTGCTTAAGGCTGCAGAATCTCAAGCAATAAGGATCCAATTTTATTATATTGGCTTATTTTATGGCTATTTAAGTTTCTTATTTAACTAGATCTGACTATATTTAAAAGGGTAACTTCAGCAAAATTTGGAACTTCACCAAAAAATTCAGCCAAGAACAAAGTCCACACATTTTTAAATATATATATTATAATTATATAAACAAATATATATAGTAGTCTGCTCTGCAGTATCAATTCGTAACAAGTTCCTCCAGGAAAGACTCAAAATGGACATATTTGTCACAATGACACAGCCTCAGAAAAGTCCCCAACAGGAAAACTGTGCATTTTTTAGCTCTTACCACGGTCACCCACCCCATTAGTGCTCCCACTCATTTCCTAACCCCCGAGGAAGTGATTAACAAGGGCACAAAGGCCACGTGCAGCTGGGACTGAGGTGTCAAGGTCTGTGCACAGCGCTAGCCCAAAAAGCCTCCCGACTGGGAAAAGCCAAAAAAAGCGAGTTGTATCACAGCACGACGATGTGCCCCGGGAATCGCTGACTGCCCAGGGGCTGTTACCTGATAACACGCCTCTAGCATTACCGTGTGTTATAGCCCTACACAGCCTCGACGCCCACAACCAAAGCTCGTGTGTCCCCCCAGCTACCCCGCAGCGACACCGAGAAGTTAATTAAGCCCAAATAAGCAATATTTAACGAGTCCAACACCACGCAAGGGGGAGGCGAGCTGCCTCAGGCTGCTGCAGGGACACGCAGCAGGGGGTGCAGCCACACGTCCCCGGAGCTCCCTCAGGACCTCTCCTTTCCCCCCTGTCCCCATTCCCCTCCCTGTCCCCGTCCTCCCCGCTCCGTGATGCGTCTCCCCGGCTCCCCGGCTCCCCAGCAGCCCCGCAGCAGGCCGCGTCCCGCACCCCCGAGCCCGCAGCCCCTCACTCACAGCCTCCGCTCCGGCACCCCGCAGCAGGCGGCCGGGCTGCGCGCCCCAGCCTATATGGGGCGCCCGGCCACGGGGCTCAGGGGGAGCGGAGCCCCCTCGGGCACCGCCCCGGCCCGGGGAAGTCCGTCCTCGGCAGCGGTGACGCTGGTAAAGCCCCGGGAGCTGCCGAGCGCATGCGTTGCCCGAAGGGAGAGGGCGGCCGCCACCTCCTCCTCCTCCTCCTCCTCCTCCTCCTCCTCCTCCTCCGTCCCGCCCGCCTGAGATGGCGGCGGGGGGCTCCCTGCGTGTGGCGGTGTCGGGGGCGAGGCGCGGTGCTGCGGGTCCTCAGCGCCCCTCGGGGCTCCTCTCAGCCCCCCTGGAGCGGGGCTCGGTCCCCGCAGGGGTGAGCGGGGACGCTCGGTACTTTCCTAGCGGGCGGGGAAAGCCCCGGGGGCGGCGTGCTTCCCGCTCCGCCCCGGGGCTTTCCAGGCTCCTTCCTGCGCCATGCGGGACCCGGCGACAGGCGGGCGGGGGGCGAGGGGACGGGACCCCGAGGGACTGACTGAACCCGAGTTTGGGGAATGGTCCCAGGGGTTAAACCTCGGGGGCAGAAAGTCTCAGGGGAAGGCAGTGAAAGTCGCGGGGGGGAGAGGCACAGACGACACGTTTCCATCGGAGGGGTTTAAGGCGGTATCTGCACGTAAAAAGTCTGAAAAAGTTCCACGGGAGGTACCAAAAGACTGACCGGCGCTCCAAATCTCCCGGCGGAATTACGAGATGACGCTTCCTATAAAGGAACGGCGGACAGGAGGTGAAAAAGCCCCGCTTGGTGCATTTGTGATGACTGCGATAGCGGGGTGTTTGCACAACTGAGAACTGAAGGGTAGAAATAAAGGAAGCATGACCGAAGAGCACGTTATGACACCGATGGGTATTTTTTTGTAACTGTGTTCCCGTAAGGTGAATTTGCAAAAGACTCATTCATATCTTTTCTAAAATGGGTTCAAATTTCCTGTCATAGGCGATGACGCTAATCAATAATAATACCGAGTCAAATTTCAGACATCTGAGTGCAGAAAGGCAGTAGTGGAACACCATTTAACTTCCCTTAAGTCTCGACATAGAAATGTTTCAGCACTTGCTAAAAAAGAAAAACAGCCAAAGTTTAAATTATCAGATTGCTGACGTCATTTTAAGGAAGCTTCTGTCATTGAGAAGACAACAGTAGGGCTTCAAAAATGCACTCAGCTCTCCAGACACTGTACCTGAAGATGGATAGGTTTCCAGTTGGGATGGATGGGTTTCAAGTTTGTTGTACACAGGCAACTCAGTATCACGTAAGCACCTGAGCTCTGTGTATGTGTGTTTGCATGGCTTTAAGTGCAGCTGCTAAAACATTTGCTTTCGTGGACCAAGCTGGTGATGTTCTCAGCTTGGGACTTCAAGCAGGAGCTCCCAAATAAAGTTACATTGAGTCTATTGCTATAGATTCCAGGTAACCTCTTGGCTTTCAACCACACATTGTCCCAAAGCTCATTAATTCGCTGTTCCACCTTAACTCTCTCAGTCCTGCAGTGCTTCCCTGCTTTGTGCCACTCCATGAAATCAGGAGATAACTCAGGGTTTCTTAGCACTGAAGTTCCCAAGGAGTGATGTGTTACCAGCAGCATCCCCAGCCCAGCATCAGCATGGGACCAAGGTAACTCCAGACGCAGGGACAGAGAGCGCAGGAGGAGCACTTTGGTCCTATGCAAGCTAAAAGCAGTGCGTGCACAGCACGAGCATTCCTTTCACCGATTGCATCAGAGTTTGAAGATCACAGGCTTGACCTAAGAAACAGTAGGATAAACAAGATGCTCTACTTTGCAGATTCTTTGCTCTGGAGAGGGGGAAGGAAGGCTGTGTTAGGATAAAGCTCTCATCAACCAAAGGGAACTGCTCTCTTAGCAAGTCCCAGGTAATCGTAGAGGTGACAGTGATAATAAAAGTGTGTCTGCCACATTACCAGTGTATGTGAAAATAAACCTAATGACAGTGTTGACTGAAATAGCCAAGATGATATAGCCAGTTTCTGGAGGTGGAACATGGTGAGCCTGCAGCATGAGTGCACGATGAATGCCAGCAATAAGTAGGACAGACAGGCCAGGAAGCAGCTGATGGGACTGCACATCGAGAAATCTTCTCCAGGAGGCCTGATGGATGTCTGTCTGTGCTGGGATCTGTCTCTTGATTCCTTCTCCAGTTTACCATCTTCTACAGCATTAAAACATCTTGCTTTAATGGTGCCTCTGTAACACATGCCTAAACGTCCCTGAAGGGGTGAGGGTTAAAATGCTGTTGTTTGCCTTTCTGTAGCTACTGCTTTGCTCTCCCTTAAATTACAGGGGAAATACTGTTACCTAGTTTCTCACCACCATAAGTGACTGTCAGAGTATCTCCCTAGGATTTCAACTTTACTGATACCCACTCTGGGTATGCTCAGGTATTGACAGTTGTTTTCTCTCAAATGTTTTCCGGAGATACAAACAGCTCAAAGCAGCAAATTTATCATTTCTGTGCTACCAAGGATGAGATACAACATAATCTACAATTTTAGTAATAGTGCTCTGGTCTTTAATTCTAGCCAAGAACATACCCCTATTTGATTTTTGGTTTGAGAGAAAAACACTCAGTTAGGTGAAGAAAAAGTACTCCCTATAGCTTCATTTGTATTGGTCCACTCATATCTATAGCACATCTATAGCTTGTTTGGCTGTTGATTTATAGAAACTAATGAAAGTATCTAAATTCCAAGCTGCTTTTAGGAGTGAGTTAGAAAGCATTTCTCAAAGGCCTTGCAGTGCTTCATCAGGGAGCCACGCAGCCCCAGCAGTGGAGACTCCTGTACCTACTCTTCCACTTGTCTAAACCCACCTATAAAACTCTACTTGTATTAAAAAGGAAGAATTATCACCAGCTAGTGTCCGCACTTTTCAGCTTCCAAATGGTATCAAAAGCTGCTATGGAGCATGTTCTAGCAACTGTGCTGATGCTACTTATTTTGAATCAGTAGCTGCCATTCATAGTACATTGATAGCATTGCCCCCTTTCCAGCAGTAAAGAGGCAGGTTTTGTCTGTTAAACTGATCTGATGGCAATTAGCATGCCAGAAAAAAAGAAGAAAAAAAAAAAAGTGAGCAAATTTTCTTTGGAAGATGTGACTTACCAGCTCTTTCAAAATACTAGAGGAGGATAATGATGAAATACAAAAAGGAAAAAAGAAAAAAAAAAAACACAGATGTTAAGGGCGACTTAGGAGGAGCCAGACTGGGACAGAATATTTACTGTAGATAAAGTAGTAGGACCTATTTGTTTTAGAAATTAAGCCAAACCCTAAGAGCAGAGCAGTTCTGACATCTTGTAGATATGACATCAGACAAACTGTGTTTTGATAATCTGAATGAATGCAAACTGCTTCCCACTTCATTCCAACTAAACACAGCAACAGGGCACCTCTGTCTAGACCATCAATAACTATTACTTTAATTTTGTGACGAGACTTAATTAACTGCATTTGGGCACATAGCAAAATAAAATAAAAGCGAATATCTCACAAAGGACAAATATCATATCTAGACAGTAAGGGTATCATGACTCATTGTAACAACCTCTAATGTTCAAGAAAAAGAAAAAAACCTTCATCTTGGAGCTCACATACTGAAGGTCAGTACATTCACCATCCAGAAAGTTTCCATTAGCTGTGCAGCCACACGGTTCTGTTTTACACATCCTCCTACACAACGGAGCACAAGAACAAATGTTAAAGTTTGCCTAAATCTGTTGTGGGTTTTATTTCATCGCTTTCAGTGCAACGAAGAACTTCTCCCACAAGACATAATTAGTCTCAAGAATATATCAGAACCACACTGAATAAGCTGAAGCTTTTACATCAATAAAAACTTTCATTGTTATTTGCTTGGAGAGTCACAGGAAAATTTGGTAAATTTTGCATTCAGTTCCCTTTTTAGATTTGAGAAGCTGATCACTTTTCCATTTTTTTTCTTTGCTTCTAAGAAGACATTTGTGTTCTGCTGGAGGTTTAATAAACCTTACATTCAGCATGAGAAAAGAGCCTGAAAAATGCCAAAACAGAGATGACTGGGTTAAATAAACCAAGTTTGTGTGGAAAAAAGGACCACATATACATCGAGGAAATCGAAAGGCTGCATTGACTTGTTTAAATTCAGGACTCCTCATTCCTGCTTCCGTCAGAGGTACTGTCTTTCTAAACAGCAGATTGTCTATGTTGACTCAAAGTTACTTCCTGCTGTTGTAATATGAAAATTTCTCTAGGGCTTTTAGTTCCCTTTGCTTGAACTAACTATTGCTATTCACATTCTCGAGCAGTGTCATGGTTTTGGCTGTGTGTGCAGCTTTTGCTTTACCTAATGAACTGTCTGCATCTCAACCCATGCCTTCTCACACTTTTACCTTTCAGATTCTCTCCCCAACCCACCTGAGTAGAGCGAGTGGCTGTGTGGGGCTGAGCTGCCTGCCGGGGCTAAACCACAGCAAAGAGTCAGAAGGAATCTTGTATGCTAATGCTCCTTCTGTTAAAAGAGAGCCTGATGTGGCACACTTTGATTTTGTGAGGCTTACTGTGGAGGTTTACCACTACTCTGAGGCTCAGGAGGATACAAAGGTTTTGTGAATCATGCTACGTATGATGGCATCACACTTTACTGTGGGCCTGGGTCACAGCTGCGACGAAGTGTTCCATTTAAAACAATGACATCAGAAAGCATATTATCCATTCAGAGGTTTCAAATGTCACTTCAGAGTATGGGAAATCAGTAAATCAGTGACTTCCAAAAACCTACACACGAAGAACTTCAGCCTTATGTTTCCACATACAAAATAAAGCCCAAAAGTCCAGAAGCAAAACCAGAGATGTGAGCTATGCGCCTGAGCTCCCAGTGCAGCAGTGGGGAACTGATCTGTGGTCTAAAACAACAAATAAGCAAACAAACAAAAATGCTCTTCACAAACTGAACAAGTCATAAATCATCTCTACCATCTACTAGAACAATGATGGCTCAAATACTTGGAGCAGACATGGGATCTGACAATAGGAGTGGGGCTGCTTATGTTAATCCTGCTGACAAATGGTAGTAAAACTGCAGCCTGAGAGAAGCTGGGCTTTTCCTTTTAGCATTCTGTGGTGTTCCTTAAGAATATATTGAGAAATAAGAAG